AAAAAAAAAAAAAAAAAAAAAAGCTAATTAAGCCTCCTTGCCTAAGAATTTGTGTTCTTTATCCTTTAACACTCTCTACAAATCCTTTTCCCTATTCCTATTAAGCAAAAAGCAGCATTTATCCCAGAGCTGACCGACGTGTTGATTTAACAGTTACAGCAAACATCACGCAACAGTTCTGCCTGTTGTTCCTGCACTGGGTTATTAGTTGGGATTTATCTCTTACCATTCACCTGACAGTTCTTATGAGATCTACAGGGCATATCTTATTTTTGTGTTATTTACAATACTTTTCTCTAGACTAAAGTTAGACAAAAGCTGCCAACGTAATTGGGGAAGGATAGTGAACCGAAAGAGATACAATATGACAGATAGCATAGAAAACCTCCATAAATTTACAAATTAATTCTGACTGGGGTTTATAACTCTATTGCTAAAAAAAAAAATGTTTATTTTAGCTTTTTTAACATGTATTGGGTTTTGTTTGGTTTTTTATTTTTTAAGTACCTGTGCTTTCCCATATCTTGCTCGAGGACTTTGTGGATATTGATTCACTAGTGCTTCAAAGGCCCTTAGAGCTTCTTCAACTTTTCCCTGGAAAGTAGAGATATTTATCAGCAATTCTATCTAATAAAAATGCTGGAGGATGAATGATCTAATAAGACTTTAGTTTCCACAATTAAAAACAAAAACAAAATAAGCAATGCACTCTGAATCAACAGTTTTCACTCATACTTTTCTTAGGATTGCCTTCTTATTTAAGAGAAATTGATTGTCATTATTTATGAAACAATACTACCTACTTTCCAAGGTTAAAATTAATAGCTTTTTTTATTTTACTCACTTTCCCTTTGTTGACTGCACAAAATGCTGAGATGACAATAACCTGTCTATATAAAAAAGTAAAGATTTTGCTGGTAATAACAAAGTCCAAAATGAATGTAACAGAGAATAGGAAGAAAGTTCTAGACATATGTGGAAATTTTCTCTCCACACACTTCTCTTGATGAACAGTATCGTAACTACAGTTCTTCCAGGGGAAACACTGTAGACTCATCCACAGTGCATGCCTCTTTCCTCCAAATCTTTTGCATAATGATGCCCCTCAGGAGACCTCACATGTGTTCTGTGTCCCTTCCCTGTCTCACATAAAGTCCGAATGTAACTATGGTATTCTTATGATGGATGTTGACCAGCAAGGATGGATGGAAGTCGAACCAGCCACACTGTTAAATAGTTTCTAAGCACTGCTTGGCAATATTTGGCAACAGACCCTGCTGCCACTTCCAGCTCTTACAGCTTTATGAATATGAGTGGGCCATTACACACAACTGCCTTGCTATCTTCAAATATTACACATCTAATTTATTACTAAATGTATGCTGATTCCCACATGACACGCATGACTATCTGTAACTTACCAAGAGACACAGGCAGGAAAAGAGACTCAGCAAACTGACCCTATAGGTTCAGAAAAAATTTCTGCTGCGTCTTTCTCTGATTAACCAATTGCTTAAGTAATAAGAAGCATGAAAATTCCTTTTGATTTTATATTCTAACATGTAAAGAAGGCTTCAAGTGATAAACAGCAGTGGCAGTATGAGGTTAGTACTCTCTATCTAATAGCCCTCCACTCCAATCACAGACCTACCAGAGCTCTAGGGCTGCATAGATGGCAGTATAAAGTCAAAATGGCATAGTATTCTGAAAATCAAGAATAATCCTTCATCTACAGTGACAATAAAATGGTCTTTATTGTACTGTACTGAAAATAGGGTATCTCCTTGCTCATCCATCTCAAATCCAGGGTACAACAAAAACCTGCAGTTGTTCTTTATGTGCTAGGACTGTCAATGAGGAATATCAGAGTTTTTACAAGATTTACACCCTAAAGACTTAAGGCATCTCATTTCTAACAGCCATAGTCTTGCTTCGCTATCTCATCTCACTTCTGGAAAAGGGATCTCACATCTCTGCAAAGGTCTTACTTTCTGAAATACTCAAATAAAATAACAAAATTGGAACCTATAAAGGGAGATGACCAAAGAGCTTGCTTTCTAGTTTGGTTTTTTTGTTTGTTTGTTTGTGGGGTTTTTGTTGTTGTTGGTTTTTTTTGTTTTTTTTCTTTTCACGGTCAAGTTATTAAATTCAGAACTACCCAAACTGACTGATAGATGTTAGTCTTGCTGCCACTAGTGACAAGCAGGAACATCTGCTTTGTCCTCTAAGCAGCTGTATGGGAGTAGAGACATTTACAGGACACACGCAGAATCCCAACAGAAACAACACCTACTTCAGAGATCTGCACCTAACATTCCCAAGGCATATGAACACTTCCTGAGAGATCCAGAGTAAAACACACATTTTAAGTTCTCTGTTAAGAGCTGACTTCAGTACTCAAATAGGCAACAGTGATAGGACAGAACTAGTCCTGTTCCATGGGATTAATTTAAGCATAAATTCAATGGCTAAGCTAAATATTTTCAAGGTCAACAGTGAGCAAACATCCATGAACAGACATACACTTATGACTTTAAAAAAATTAAATTAAATACCCAGCAGAAGTTAAATTTGAAGGACAAATATGCACTGAATATTTAATTTTTAAAAATTAAGTTCACAAAAAATAATCTAAAAGTCATTCTCCTTTTTCTAAGTTTTTAATTTATCATTTTTGTCCATTGCCTACAGTCCTGAGTGAAACATTACAACTTACTTTTTTACGTAGTTTTTCTGCAGCATCTAATTCAGCTTTAATGGTCTTATCAAACTTGTTTAAGAGCTTTGGCTTCTTCTTTTTAGCTAGAAGGTTTAAAAAACATACAATTCATTACTTCTTTTGCATTTCACAGCAATTGTCTGGAGTAACACTCAACTAGGGAATGTGTCGGTAAAGTGCATGATTTCCAAAGAAGGTAGTTTCAAATTACACTGAAGATAAACTGATTTCTTACTTATTACAGTCAAAACCTCCTATATGGAAAAGCAAACTTCAGTCATTCAAATTGAATGACTTGGCACTCAACTTCTGGATAAAGAATCTTTCATCACATAACAGTCAAGGATTTTTTTTTCCAAATGGTTCAGTTGATGTGGGAGAACATGAACTGTTATTTTTCCACACTTATGTGGTACTACGAAAAACATGATTATCAGGATATATTAGTAATTTCTAAAAGTTGTGACTATATAGGTCTACTTCTTTGCCTGGAGCAATTAGTGAGGCTGCATCTGAAGTCCTGTGTCCAGTTCTGGGCTCCTCAGTACAAGAGAGACGCGGAGCTCCTGGAGAAGGTCCAGTGGAGGGCAACAAAGATGATTAAGGCATGGGAGCAACTCTCTTACAAGGAAAGGCTGAGGGAACTGAGCCTGTTCAGCCTTCAGAAGAGATGACAGAGGGGATCTCATCAATCAACGTCTATAAGTATCTGAAGGGAGGGTGTAAAGAAGGATGGAGACAGGCTCATCTCAGAGGTGCCTAACAATAGCATACGAGGCAAATAGCAGAAACTGGAGCAGAGAAAGTTCCACCTGAACATAAGAACTTTTTTATTGTGTGAGTGACCGTGCACTGGAACAGGCTGCCCAGAGAGGCTGTAGTGTCCCCCTCACTGGAAGTATTCAAGAGTGCCATCTGGATACAAATCTGTGCCATATGCTCTAGGATGACCCTGCTTGAGCAGGGAGGTTGGACCAGATGATCCAGTGTGGTCCCTTCCAACCTTACCCATTCTGTCATTCCGTGATTAGAAGAGTTCACAGAAATCATAGTTACTCAGTAGAGTTCTTGTTGAACTCAAGTTCAGCACTGAAATGTCAGACCAAGACCTCTAAGTGATCACGTTTCCATAGCTTAGTGAGCTATCACAGAGAAGCAGAGCAGCAGCAGTATGTAGCAAACCAGCCTTGAAGTAAATTGCGTATACTGCATCTGAAGCAAATTGAAGTAAATGGTGTTAATTTAAACAGCTATTTACTTCATAGCACTTCACTCTTAAACAATGTCTATTTGGTTGCATTAAGTATACTTAAACTACCCTTAACTAGTTGTTTAAAAATTCAAATACATTACTGAAAGGATATGGCAGCAGGTAACTGCTTTTCTCCAAATTTGCTACAGCTTAACTTTGATTTTGCATTTCATTAGGAAAAAAGGACTCTGACTTTTCTGACACAGGTAGGGGAAATATGCATTGGCTGATACAATTAACTAGTAGTTATACATATATGTAATCAGTGGCACATGTTTTCGCTTTAATGATGCATTACTGGTTTTCCCCCCTCTATGGAGAATAAGTCATTAATAGCATGAAATTACTTCTTTCTTTGTATACATTTAAACAGGGAATGTTGTAACTGGTATATGTAAAGCTAAACCCAAACATCCAACAGTTTAACATCACAAGACTGCTACAATGCTACAGCAAGTATTCTGGATAACAAGTTATTGTAACTAGCTACGTTTTATTCTGCTTCCCAAGTCCTCGGGTGCATTGTTCAGGAATTACAAGAGCCACCACATACTACTGGAAGCTGTGCTCATGATTCCTTAAATGATACTGTCTCTGAGACTCTGATTCTACGTACAATCTTAGGCAGACAAATCACGTCATCCACATTAAACCCCAGAAAACACCCCTGTCTTACTTAATGCTTAAACAATACTAAGTCCATCCAATCATTAGAGGATTCTTAACTCTAAACTGCTTCTGTATGGGATGAAAAATTAAAACCCTTAACCACTTTGGGGCTTTTTGATGTGAAACTTTCACTGTCGTATTCAATGCTGAACTTGGACAGCTCTGTGCAGAGAGAGTTTTTTTATATTGTCTTTTTAAACCCTTCTGCAGAACTGGTATGCATAGTTGAATAGATGCCATTGTTTTTCAGAGGCAGGAGGGAAACAGAATTTAGGTAGAATTCAAGCTATCCTACCAAATTCCATTTGCTTATTCAAAAAGGTTGCTTGAAGCCTTAAATCTAAAAATGTATTAATATTTATAAAGGTAAGATACTAAAGCAGCAGTGCATTAGGATTATTATATCCTTGTTGATCCTTCTTGTAACAGAAGAGACCATAATCTTTCATTGCATTAGATATCAAGAAGTTAAGAAGAAAAAAACCCCAAAACTGTCTGACATATAGGAGTTTACAACTTTTTCAGGATAAACCACCACATAATTTACTTTAATATATTGGTTTTGCTCCCCTAAACACTTCAGGTTTTCATTGCAACCCATGACTTGAAATCAAGTATTTATACTGAAACACACAACAATGCATTTAGGAAATGTAGTTATCATGGAACTAAACTGACCAAAGAGGAGCTTTGTTTCGTGTTTTTTCATAATATACATGTTTTTAATCTCAGTTGTTCCTTCCCCAAGGAAGGAAGGAAATTGGAAAGCAAAGCAATACTTTCCTATCTGTGGCCTATTCCAGTCTTCCTCTATCTTACTTTAATATCATCCATTTAATAGGAAAGCAATGTCTTCACTGCATTTTCATGCAGTTAATGATGATGAGGATTAAGGAGCACAGCCCTGGCTCTCTTCCAAATGTTCACACCCCTTGAATCCAGTAAAACTCACAGAACCAGCTCTCATCACAAAGGCAAGGATCCCTCCACCCCAAACCTTCAGTCCACAGTGATTAACAGGTAGGGTCAGAAGTTTCTTACACATCACTAGGCCTGAGAAGAATAATCCATAACAGGTAAAAGGCTTGTTAGGTTTTATCTTATTTTCTTTCTTCTTTTCTAAAAATATGCCAACTCAGTTTTTCAAACAACCATTGCTATTTCTAAAGCCTAGCTTTCTCAACAGCAGGTGTGGATGAACCCAGAAGCATTAGTCCAAGGAACCAATGAAAGCAAATGATGCTAAGGACTTTTTAGGTTCATTGCGCTCTTAGCTGCCATGTGAAACTGTCCTTTGTTGTTAGCTGGAAAACTGAGGCATATCAGTTCCTCTGAGTACATGATCTGGGGACCTTCCAGCTGGACATCACCACCAAACACCTGGTTTGATTTCTGTTCTCTAAATAGGAGGTTGTACATGCACAGAAGAAATAATGTAAACCCCAACTAAAATGCCAGTTCTCAGTTCTTACGGCACGAATGAAAACTTTTATCTAAGGCTGGTCAGTTATACATGAACTGTATATTCAGTAAGACAGGACAGCTATTTGTCAGCTTTTTAGCTTTCAGCATTCATGAAAAGACAGAGTCACTTGGTCATCCCAAACTCAGTAAGCATGGCAACAGCAAGGTTCCTTCGAGGCAAAGGAAAGAAGCTCTCCTACCCAAGAAGAAGCTCTTGCTGCCTATGGGACACTATTTCTGCTGATCATTTGAATTTAGAAGGAGATGACAAATAACTCATGAAGAAAGAGTAAATTAAAATCTCAAAAGTCTGAGGCACAAAGATGTGATATCTTTCCCTTCATATCCAACTTGGGTGATGTGTTGGAAGAACCTTTTTGCCACCTTCCATTACGAAGAAGAATTATCTGACTGTTTTCAGTACAATTATATATCATCTCTAGACCAGCAGGAGATCAATATAAAAAGCTGGAAAGGAGCTGTTAACATAAATATTATTCATCTGCTAGGCACCAATATAACACAGTAAACATTATATAACGAGCAATCATTTTCATCTCCCGCTCTATTCCTATGTTAAAGTATTCACTAGGGAGCTTTCAGTGTAACCATCAAGCATTCCTCTATATTAACCAGATAGCCTGCTATCTCCCTGCAGGGGTATTTTAATAAATTATCCATTTCCTCCTTCTAGTGTAATAATCTTTTAGCAGA